ATATTCCCATTCATGGCATTGCTGCAGGCAAGCTCTACCCAGAATATCTTCTCCAAGCCCTCTCTAGCCAACAGCCAGAATCATGAAACAGAGCCACCAGGGACACTGATAAAGCTGCTGATGTCACTGCCTTGATAACATTTGGGATTGTGTGACAATTCAGTGGAATACATTTTCCCTTAAGCATTCCTTCCATCCTTTCTCGCAAGGCATGTTTGATCAGATGCTTTGTCAGCTGTTTGAATCTTGAACTGAAGTCTTGCAGGGCGAAAGCAAAGCACAGAGGCAGCCTCCAAGTGACCAATTGCCTTTCCTGCCTGTGAGTGCAGACTGTGTGGAATGGTGCACCCAATAGTTACTCCTTATGATCCAGTAAACTGCTTACTCCATTATGTGATCACAGGCCCAATAGGGGTAGATCAGAGAATATTAAAGGCACAAGCTCACAAGGGATGCTCAGATCAAGAAGCCCTTTGGCCCATTAGATCTCACTCTGCCAACTCTACTGGCTTCCCAGCTTACACCCCTTCCATGCAGTATGTTACCACATCTCAGTCGGGATGGCAATGGGAGAGGAAGGTGGCAACATAATTGGTGTTCCAATGCTAGGATGGGGAAAAATGAGCTAAGTGTATCATCATACTACTGATCGTAGGTAACAGGGGACAAGGGTTAGAGGGGGCTCAGTTCCCCCGCGCCCCCCCCCCCCCCCACCCCAATCTATCTACAGCTCTCCTCTTTAAACAGCTAGGAGGGGAAAGTACTGAGTCCAAAGAAGGAACACAGCTGGTGCTCTGAACAGCCCCAACCCATGGGCCCCTTCTTGTCCCAACTCTTCGGTGGTGAGCTGTTCATGGGGGCATCCTCACCTCAGTCAAGCCAACAGTTCACCTGTCGTAAAGGGGACCGACTGTGTAACTGAGTGTTTCTCAGTTGCACCCCCCACCCCCACAAAAGAATATTTTGATCGACTCCATATGCTACTGATTGCACTGTACTCACAAGTTGCTTGGGTAAGGTACCAGAGGCAGGTTGATATTTCTGGAACCAGTTTAAGTCAATACCCTCAGGAGAGGTGATATTTGGACAGACAAACCTGGATGAAAGCCAAATGTAAGAGTTGTAAAACTTTCTATTCTTGTTTTAAAACAGTACTGTATTATCAATTCGTAACATTGCTGCAAAGTAAACCAAGCTGCAAATTTGTGATTGTTTATTAGAAGATAGAGATTTAATCAGATGGTCAGGTGACTGAATACTAACACCAGGTAAGTTTGCTTTGGCGCAGATGTGAATGAGTTTTATCACCTCTTAGGCTTCCCCTTCCAATCAGGGAATTAAAATGGTTCGCAATTGGTTCAGCCACAGTGGCTCCTCAATTTAGAGTTATGGTACCATCACTTGAGTGGGAGTTCGAAAAGGCCAAAACTAAGAGAAAGAGGGAAAGAAAAGGAGCACAGAACCCTGACTGAACCACAGGAACTGCATTGTGATGGGCAATTTCCCAATTTTACAACCTTTTACCCATTTTTCTAAAATATGTGGGATTTCAAAGAAGGAATCCAAATCCCAAAAATGAAGTCTCAATCTCCAGTAACTGCAGGTATGCTCTGACAAGATCTACTTCTTTAGCAGAATTCCCATCTGTCAGCAGGAATTATTAAGGAATGCTGCATTTTTGACACCCCCACCTCCCATTGCCTTCACAATATTTGCTTTGCCTACAAAATACACAGTCACTACACCTCACTGTATCTGCAGTGAAGTGCTTTGAGACGTATTCCGGATGTGAAAAGGGTTCGTTCATCAAATGGAAGGATTATTAATTTTTTCCATTTAACATCTGAAAGCGTTCAACACATTTTTCTGCACAGTGCAGGATCTCATGCTTATTGCTGCCAAATGGATGAGAATTATTCATATAATTCTAAAATATGTGGGATTTCCAAGAAGGAATCCAAATCCCACAAATGAAGTCTCAATCTCCAGTAACTGCGGAGATATACGGAGCAGGCGACAACAATTTGCATTTGTATAGCACCCTTTACACAAGGTAGTATCTCAGAACGCTTAGCGGTAGTGGAGCCTGAAGCTGAGCCGGGGAGTGAGGCGAGGTGAACGTAGGCACGGTTGAAGAGGAAGGTCTTCAGGTGTGAAGGATCAATAGCGTGAGAGTGATTTATGGGATCATGGAGTGTTTCTTGGAGGAGAGGTCTTTCCAGACTCAATCGTCTATTGTTATTCCTATTGTGTAACAAAGGTGCAAGTGCATAGACCCTTTCTGCCATCTGGTGGAATGCTCTGGTAGTACCCATTGTAACTCAGGACAAGGTCAGTGAAGACAAATTAGATTTTGACTAACACAATGGTCATTTTTGCCTCGTCCGCTTTGAAGAGACGGTTTCTCATGAGTCTTGACTTAATAGAGTGTTTTGTAGCAATTGCCCAGGTAATTTTAAGATTTCAAGTTTTTTTTTAATTTCAGGTGCACAGCACCAACCAACAAAATATACCACTTTATAGTATATTCTTGTGAAGGGCTTGGAGACGTATTGATGGCCTGATATGGCATTATATTAAATGCAAGGATTATTATAAATGCACAAGAAAATAACAAAGACTGTCATCTCCTTTGACTGCGTATTCTTAGAGATCGACATTGAGATTGTAGGTTCTTGCATCTGTTTGAGAATATGTAAGTGAAAGAGATAGCAACAGTTTGCAGACAGCCTCAGCATTATTGTCTGGTGCACAAGTGCCCAAATAATGAAAGGCAAAAAGCAGATAACTGAGCCTTTCAAGAATGGATGTGGCATCAAAATAAAGGGAATACTGTATAGAAATAAGATTTCCCTTTTCTGATCTTATTCAGAAGATCACTACTGAGAAGTCAGTTCAGTTGTTGATTAGCTGATAACATTGAAATTCAGAGAGTAGCAATACAAAACTTCAAACATAGGCTCAACATTGCAATTCGGAGAGCAGCAGTGTAGCTAGGAGTAGAATACGGAAGCTTTGGCCCCAATCGTAGGGATCTTGTAGATGTTAACAGCGTTTGACTGAAGTTTGATTGGGAAGGGTTTCTCCTCTTGTCAGGTGTCTTGGGAGCTTTTTAGCCATTAGGAACAACATCCTGGGGGCATTGGGAAGCAGACCACCAACTTTTGATTCCATCTATTCCCAGATGCAAAACACCTTCAAACAGGCTGCTAAACACCTTCTGGCTGGATTGATTTCAATTTAGAGGTGTAAATCCTGTTTAAAATCCAGTGAGCTGCAATGAACATGTTAACTGGGCGTACTGATTCAGAGACTAATGGGGCTGTGTTTCTTTCTCTCTTGTGCCCTTTCCTGGCAGCTTTATAGGTTAAATGGGATCAGTAATAGTTCGTTGCTACAGAGCTACCATTAATTAAACAATAACTTCCACTGCTGAGTACGTGAAACATTAAAAGGTTCCCATGTGCACAGGACCTATTGAATCGGAGGACAGCCAACAAGAATGGAATTGTGTTGATGAAAAGTATTTAGATTTATAAAGACTCCACACATGGGGGTCAAATTTGTGGTACTTCATGTATGATTTCTTAATTAAGTAATTTCTTAATTTCTTAACTGAGTGTTGATTCAGGTAACTGGAGGGGCATCACACACATGAATCACTCTGACGTAGACTCTGACCTGTTTCAATGCTGTATAGTGTATGTAATATATGTTTGGGTCTGGAAATTTGATTCCATCATCTCAACAAGCTTTCTCTTCTAGTACAAAAGTCTCTGGTGGGAGTTGGCACTAGTGACGTTTGGATTTCTTAACTAAGAAACATCAAAAAATCCTAGAATTTGTGCAGCATAGAAGAAGAGTCATTTGGCGCATTGTATTTGTGCTGCTGTTAGCTGCCAGGCTATAATTAACTATTCTGCTCTTCCAAGGCATATCTCAAAATGTACCTCTTTGACCATCCCTCCTCTGCTCCAACCACCAGCTCAAGTACCCACCAGCATTATTAACTGCTTTGAGGCGTTCTTCCAACATAAAAGCTACTAAATAGTTGTAAACTTTATTGCACTCCATGTGTAAGCGTACACACCTTGTAATAGAGAGCAGTTATCATTTACTCAATGTTTAACATTTATAATGTGAACAGTAGGTACTGTATAATGCAGATTCTCTTGCATCTGTTGAGAAATGTTGAAAGTTTGCATTGACTAGAAATCAATAAGTGTAATTTTCGCCCTCAGGGAGCCTTCAGGGGTGATAAGTATCTTAACCTTTTAGCGTCCATGAAGACACACATTGTAGCAGAACACAATGACAATCAGTGACTGGACAAGTTTGAAAATAATGTCTGAACTTTAATCAAATCGGAGGTTTCAGACTTTGGATAGAACCTGGTTAAGCTTCCATGTATTTTAAGGCTTCATCTCACTCCCTCAATTAGGTTACTACTTTGTAATTATTCTCAGAAATCCATTATTCTCTACATAAACCATCTGACGTCTTCCTTGATTAGATTATTCCCTCTTATTCAGTCCCAGATACCAATTATTCTCTTCATAACAATCTTTATGTGTCAGCTTGGTTTGATTGCTAACATTCTCGCCTCTGAGTCAGAAAGGGACTTTGGGTAACACTCCACTGCAGTGCTGTGGGTGTTCTGCATTGACAGAGATGCTGTCCTTCTGAAACATTAAATCAAGGCTCCACCAACCTGTTCAAGTGGATGTTAAAGATCCCATGGCATGGTTCAAAAAGAGAACAGAGTTTCTCCTGCTCAGCAATCCCCCAAATAAAATCAGCAATTTCCTTCATGGCTGTTTGTGGGACATTGCTATGCACAAATTAGCTGCTGAGTTCGGCTACAAAGTATGTACTCACTACACTTAATAGTACAATCTTTTGAAGGCCAAAAATCTCAAGTTGTAAGATACTGCCTCTGTAATGATTGGCCCTGAACTATACAATATACTAGAAATAAAACATTACTTTGTTTTCTGCAGGATGGATGGTCGCAGTATCATTTTGTTGCTTCATCTTCTACGATTGAACGGGACAGACAAAGACCATATTCCTCTTCACGTACTCCCTCCATATCACCAGTCAGGATGTCTCCTAACAACCGTTCAGGTAAATGAGACAGCACTCACTTTCCTCTGATGATGCACATCACAAGATCACTCAGCTATTATTGTGGCAAACATGCCATTGTGTGGACATTTTGGAAACAAATGAAAACAACTTTGCCAGACACTTGGCCACAAAGATCAGCAACAGCAACAACAACTAATTACATTTGTATAGCTCCTTTCACATTGGGAGGACATCCCAAGGCGCTGGACAGTCAGGGATTTGGACCCGAGAAATTTGTTGCTGTTGTTGGGGAGGGAGGGTTGAGGGCAGGGAGGGTAGGAGGGTGGCTGAATGCGCGGTTGAGGAGGAGGGCCTTGAGACGTGCTTTGAAGGAGGCAAGGTAGGGAGCAAGATGAATGGATGTGTAATGGAGTTCCAAAGGGTGGGGACGGAGAAGCTGAAGGCCTGACCGCCAATGGTGGAGCGGCGGGCCAGGCAGGGGACGTGGATCAGGGTGGAGCGGAGGGAGCGGACAAGTTGATATGGGGTTAGCAGGTCACAGAGGTAGGAAAGAGCAAGGCCATGAATACGGTGCCTCATCACATTATCAAAGTTTCCCAAAATGCCTGCTTCACTGGAATTACCACTGGGACAGTGCTACATTGTCACTTGGAATCTGTCATCAGATGTATTTGTGGCAACATTTAAACACAAGACACAAAGTCCGTATACTACCAGCTCTCTGGATTCCAGTAGCATAGCATAGTGCAGCAGCTTGTAACTTCTCACTGAGTCCCAGCTCATACAGTAAATGCCGAGGATCCCACAAAATGTGCCCTTTTTATTTTTGATTTGATTTTTCAAAGTATTGTGCAGCTCTTCATTGATCTGAGACAGGCAGAAAAACAATTCTTTACAGTTTGGGTTACAGCATGTGGATTTTAGCTTCTTTGCAATAACATTGCTACAGTAATCTACATAACTCACTTGACTGAGTGACTGAGAAGTGGCTGACATTCCCTGACTTAAATTTGCCAGCCTTTCCTACACTTTCCAATCGGTTATAGAGCCAGCGGTTGAGTGAGCTGCAATATGATTCAATGTGGCTGACACCAGGGCAGTGTCTGGGAAGGAGTAGGCAGGGACAGAGACAAGTGGCAGGAATGCATACATGAAATGGGTTGGGGTTTGGTTGAAGGAAGCAGGGAAGAGAATACTGAAGGTGGGAATGGGTACAGGGATCCAATATTACAATACAATACAAAATTACATTTGTATAGTGCCTTTCACCTCGGGAGGACATCCAAATGTGCTGGACCATCAGGGATTTGTACCCGAGAGGGGGGATTGGGGTAACGGAGGATAGGAGGGTGGTCAAAGGCATGGTCGAAGAGGAGGGTCTTGAGACAAGCCTTGAAGGAGGCAAGAGAGGGAGCGAGGCGAAGGGAATGTGGGATAGAGTTCAAGGAGGATCGTGGGAGAGGAGGGCAGAGCGGGAGTGATGCGGGGTAGAGGACAGGGATGGGGGCATTTGGGGGGAAAGATTGGGAGCAGCAGCCAAAATGCGCACGGCCAGATAGCGGAAGAGGGGATGAGGGCCAAAGGAGGCAGTTCTGCCCCATAGCTGATTCCACCCATTGTGTCGGTCGCACTCTCTTAATTCTTTCCCATTTCTCTGACTCTGCCTCCACTCTAACCATTTTCTCATTACATTAGGTGACAATCTTACTGAATTGTCTGCACTGCAGCTGAGGCAAACCGATTCTGTTAAGTGAAAAGGAGGAGTAATTTTTACTCTGCTGGAGGGGACACTTTCATCGACACTAACTATACGGAGAGAAAATTCATTTAACTTGTAGCTTATAGCAGCCACGAGTACAAGATACCTAACGTGTCACTGCAGTGGTATTAAGTAGAGAGAGAGCATCACCTTGTTGCAAAACAAAATTGAATTTTTTTTTGCAGACAAATGAGATGAATGCCTCATTGGCTTTAGCAGGACTGATAGCCATTGTGAGATGATTGAAAATCAGCGCTGAGAGCCAATGTGACCATTTTTCCGAGAACGAGACATCTGTACTGGCGTGTCATCCAAATGAGGGAGTGCGCTGTGAAAGTTAAATGATTCATACAATGCCACCAGGAACCTTCAGGGCAGATCTGCAACATCGACAGTTACCACCATGGTGAGGTGGGGAGGGCTGTCTAATTTGCTGGCTGTGTTAACTATCTAGGTGTAAACGTGTCGTGTGTAAAGAAGGAACTACCAGTGCCCTGAATCGTGTCATTAATAATCAATGTAAAGGTTTTCAGATGATTGTAGGCTCCTTTCTGGATTATTAGTTACATTATTAAGGGTACCTATAGTTCCCAATTTACACATGTATTTACCCACGGTTAACAAAACCCGCAAATTAGACCCCACTGAAGAGGTCCTGATTTGTATTCAGAATGTCTTTCACTATTAGTTGAAGGAAAGTCTATGCAACGCTTCCAGTGCAGAGGAAAATGCACACTAGAAGCTGTGTTAGTTAACATAACATGTAGGAGCAGGAGTAGGCCATTCAGCCCTTCGAGCCTGCCCCGCCATTCAATCATGGCTGATCTTCTAATCTAACTCCAGCTAATAACCTAACCCTGCCTTATCCCCGTATCCCTTAATTCCTTTTGCAATAAGAAATCTATCTATCTCAGTCTTGAATATTGCACACTGCTTTGTCCCACAAACAGTAATGAAGTGAATGACCAATTTTTATTTTGTTAGCCAGGAGAAACTCTGTTCGTTTTTCAAATAGTACCATGGGATCTTTAACATCCACCTGACCAGGCAGACGGGACCTCAGATTAGCATCTCATCTAAAGAACAGCTCCTCCCAACAATGCAGCACACCCCTAGCACTGCATTGGAGTATCAGCCTAGCCTATGAGTTCAAAGACCCTAATATGGGGCCTGAACCCACAACCTTCTGGCTCAGAGAGTCAGCTATCAACTGAGCCAGGCTGACACATATGATCTTCCTTAGAACGACCTGAATGCCCCAACATTGGAGTTTGGGCTTTCAGCTTTTCTGACCTCAATCTCTGGAACACCATCCCTGAATCCCTCCGCCTCACACTCTCCCTCACCTCCTTCAAGGCCCATCTCAAGACTCCTCTTTGACCATGCCTTCGCCTACACTCCTACCCCCACTATCCTCTACCCCTCTTGATTCCAACCCCCAGCTTGGGTCCAAACCCTTAACAGTTCTGTGTTTTGGGACGTCCTTCCGACGTGAAAGGCACTATTTAAGTGTAATTTGTTGTTGTTGAATTTAGCTGAAGTGAGGCAAAGCTGGAGCTACAGTGTTTCAAATGATGAGTAACTCACCCACTGCTTGTGTATGGCTTGCTTCCACTCAATGATCCAGAACGTGTAAGTGATCACTGCTTGGGCGTTGGTGAAGCTGTGAAATTGATCTGAAAAAGCTTTAAGCAGCGGGTTTTCCCCTATGAGCACCCCTCTTAAAATTCCATTTGTTACAAAGAGTTATCATTGACTTTAATATCCTTTTGGGTTTTGTGAGCCTTTCTGCTGATTTTCAGTATTTCTATTATAGCAGTGCCTTCCTATATCATGCCTGTCCACCAGCCTCATTTACAGTCACACAAATGACCTGTCATTAATCCGCAAGTGGGGGATTGTCACTAATTTTAACACACTGTAGGACACAGTAACTATTTACATTTATTTTTTGTGGAGTCCTGTATCTCAGTGGTTAGAGCACTCGCTTTGCAAGCGAGAGATCGGAGTTCAATTCCAGGCAGGGCGAAACCTTGGGCAAGTTTCCTTACTCCACACAGAGCCTAATAATAATCCCTCCAAAACCAAAAACAATAATAAAAATTGGTCATTTTCAATCTACGACTGTTTGTGGGACATTGCTGTGCGCAATTGGCTGCCGCGTTCGCCCACAAATATAGTCAATTCACTTTACATTGTGTTCTGTGAAGCGCTTTGGGACATCCTCCCGACATGAAAAGCGCTAAATCAAATGCAAGGATTATTATTATTATTATACCCAACGTTTCTGGCCAGAACGACTCGAAAGTGCTTCACACAGCTGACTGAGAGCCTGAGCTAGACGGATAGCCTGAGCTGGAGGGCGATATTATTTCTGAAAAGAAATCTAGGACCGGTGAGCAAAACCGTTCAGCAAGTCAGGTCGTCAATATTAATCATCTCATGCTTTGAACCCAGCTTTGCCCCTGAGACTCAAATGGTCTGGCTTTGCTGCACTTATTTCACACGTGCCCAGTTTTATTGAGAATGCTCTGAAGCTTTGTTAGAACTAGGAGAACAGTTTACCTGGAAGTAATTTCACAGTTTTAAACTTGAAGCTTCAGGGTAGAAAAATTCTAATCATCATTAGATTTCAGTATGTCAGAATAAGAGCATTGAACTGAAATTAACTAAACGGAAAATGCATCAACCTTGTCTGTGATTAACTACTCAAAGTTAATTCCCAATACAGGGTTTATTTTAAATTAAATTTAACCTTGCCACAAACCCACTAAAGCAGATGTGAAATCCTGTGTGAATGTTGCATTGCTGAACATTTTATGGAAATAGACTTCATAGCAGCTACAGGCTGGAGAGTGGCTGAATGCCATGTGCACTGGGAGTCTCTCTAGTCCTGTTTGTAGACCTGTATGGATGCTGCTAGAAGCGTCATAGGTGGTAACAAGATCAAGCCAGCCATGCATTTATTTCACAGCTACTGTTCATTTTTCTTGTTCAAAACCCTGCTGGAGCTAAGGTCAGGCTCTAATCTGTGCAGTTTTGCAAAGAAACTGTCCATTGTTAAGCTGTGTTTTGTCCTTTTGGAGCAGCCAAGAGACCCAGACTGGTAATAGATTTTGATGGAGGGAACAGGGAATGAAAAGATGCCATCTTTCCCTTTTACTGGCCAGATTAGCATCTGTGTTCTCGGAAAAACCTATCTGGAACGAGCGCTTGGATGTCTCGTCTGGCAGTGATGCTTTCCAGGAGCAATCACAGTGAGATCAGATATCGAGGAACAGAATATTAAGTCTCCAGAACTCTGCATACAGCTTTTAGATGTTTCTTGTAAACCCCTTTTTGGTAAAAATATTACAAAATGCTACAAATAGGAAGATTCAGATGGGCACTTTAAATTCTGGGGTGTCGAACTCCACCTGCAAAATTATAGTAGTGTTCTGTAAATCCTGAATGCCAAAGTATGACATGAAGCCATTTCATTACTTACCAGGTTTGCTCTTTCAGCGTTTTATTTCACCTATTTCAATCTGCTTTACAGTATATCCCCTTAAGCGCTTTGAGATGTCTCAACAACACGATAAGGCTCTACATCAACTGGAAGGATTATTTATTATTATTATTATATTTCTTCTTAGAATGAAAGATAATTTCCAGTGTTTGTAAACGCCATCCATCGTCTTGAGTGGGAACGTGCACACACTTTCTGTCTCAGTATTCCCAATGTGTAATTTTGGGATCGCAGGAAGTCACATCTGCTGCTGCTGTTGCCTGGCGATACTGCATCCCGTCACCATGGTAATTTGGGATCTGTCGCCATGGTAATGCTGCATCCTTTCACTATGCCAACCTTCAGAATTGCGGTCATCTTCTCTCTGAACGTTTTTGTGAATTTTTACCGAAGCGCTCTGGGACGCTGCGCTGCGTGAGGGGTGCTTTATAAGTGCGAGTTGTTGTTGTTGTTGAATCCCGCAGTTTCAGTGTCAAGTGGAAGTCTCTTTTAGCGCAGCACCGTCCAATTTTTGAACCTCACGTTTTCAGCCCCTTGATTAACCCCGGACTTTCCTGCCCTGTGACAGTTAGAGCTATACAGAAAAAATGTTAAGCAACCAAAAGGTAATTTATGGCAAAGAACACAAAACCTACAGGAAAAAAAACTCCGGAGAAACAAACCCAAACTACATTCTCTATATTAAAACATAACTATTTAAAGTACATTTACTCTTCAGCAATTTCTTACTCACATTGTTGGGCAGATCTCTTAGACAATGCACTACGTTTCCTTCCCTATTTTCTTTCTCGTCTCTTCTAAAGTTATTGACTTGTGCTGGGCTACAGTTCCATGTCTGCCAGCGCCCCTCTGGTTCCTCTCCCAATGCGTGTGAGTGTCCGCAGGCTGTTTGCCTGAATATTTTATTCTAAGAATCCAGAAAGGTGTTGTGATAACCTTGTGCTCTCTCATTTATAGCGAGTGCCCCAGCCTCTCCTCGGGAGATGATTGGGTTAAAGGAACGAAAGACAGACTACGAGACAACTGGGACAATCTCTGGTTACCATGGAAGCAAAGGAGAGCACACTTCCAGGAAGGATACTTTACCAGGTTAGTGAGCCACAAATCTCTGCAAGAAGATGTTCAGTAGGGGGACTAAAGCGTAACATAAGAAATAGGAGTAGGCCATTCGGCCCCTCGAGCCTGCCCCGCCCTTTAATAAGATCATGGCTGATCTTCTAACCTAATTCCATTTACCCGCCCTATCCCCATATCCCTTAATCCCTTCAGTTTTTAAAAATCTATCGATCTCAGTCTTGAATATGTTCAAGGACTGAGCATCCACAGCCTTCTGGGGTAGAGAATTCCATAAATTCACTACCCTCTAAGTGAAGAAATGTTTTTTTAACACCGTTCTAAAGGGTTTACCGTTAATCTTGAGAATATGACCCCTAGTTTTAGATTCTCCAACCAGGGGAAACAGTCTCACACTACCTGCCCTGTCAAGACCTTTATGAATCTCGGTTTCTATAAGATCAACTCTAATTCTTCTATATTCTAGAGAATATAGGCCTAGTCTACTCAACCTCTCCTCGTAGGTCCTACGTTGAACCTACGTTGCACCCCCTCTAAGGTGAATATATCCTTTCTTAGATAAGGAGACCAAAACTGCACACAATATTCCAGGTGCGGTCTCACCAAGGCCCGAATATGTTAATTAATATCCAGCTACAAAACTGGCTACTCTGAATTTATCTCCTCCCTCCCTTCCTCCTTTGTTTCCTTCCTTAACGCACCACACCATCTCTTGCTGGAGTAATATTCCACAGCCCTTCAGTTAACCACACAAGTCCCTATTCGTGTGGTTAGGAGAATTGTTTTCATTGCACAAATACTGATTAGATCATTAATGGCTAGAAATTCCACGGAGAATTACTCTGCATTTCACAGAGTCTAGAATTTGGCAAATTCTTAAATTCAGCCTAAATGTTGAAACCAGTTGTCCGTAAGCTCTTAAGAACCACAGAATGCCGACTTCAAAGTTAAAACTGAATTCAACCATTTGCTCCATTCTGCACACTCAAGAATGCTACATAATAGAGTTGTGGAATTTCTCCCCACAAATGCCCTGTGAAAATCACTGAATCCATAATAGCTTTAAAACAGAAGTAGACAAATACTTGATAAGGAAACATATAAAAGTATATGGGACGTGGGGCTAAATAGATATCTCTTTCAAAGAACCGCCACAGACACGGGTGGCTGCGCTGTGCTCGACCATTCTGTGCTTCTATGCATGCGTCAGGAAGCTACAGTATTTAACTGTGAATCATTGCAGGCAAATTACAATCGTATCTTCACCCAAATCTTTATGTACAGTTTCCACTGGGGATCTTCAGACTGGATGGGAACTGGAGACAGAAATCCTGGCTGAATTTTCTCCTTCCCTAGCTCAGGATCTGTGAGGCCGCATATAGTGTTTCATCTGCTGTCCGTATTAGTTCAGCTCATTAAGTATAGTCCAAGGCTCAAATAATTCAGCACCACACCACCTCCCACTCAATCAATAAAGCATGATGGAGGTTGAAGTACTATAAAGTAGAACAAACTCGATGTTGTTGCAAATAAATAAATAAATGCGACTGTGTTTGATCTCTGAACCATGTCCTTAATTTTGTTAGTTTGGTTCTATATCTATCAAATCTCAAGATCTGATACAGATCTAATATCTAACCATAGTCTGAGGTTTTTGGACAGTCTGAAATTAAATGTAATTCTGAACTGTATATCACCCTCACACATTTCTACATTCGCATTAAAATTCAACGGGGAACATTACCTTTGAGAGGGCAGACAGATTGACAAGCACCGTAATCTGTGCAACACAGTGGGGAACGTCTCACAGGTTTGGAATTCTCAAACATTGATATGTAGGATACCCATGGTGAGTTGTTTGTTTTGCTTGATTTCATGCTGTTGCTGTTTGCATCAAGTGAACTCACCATTGTAGGAAAAGTTGAATCAAAAGGGGACTTTTTTTTAGGGAAAAAATCTGGCTCCAAGTGTCAGAACCAGTGAATTATCTGATCTATCTTATCTCAGCTTTCATTTGACTCATTGTTGTCACTAAATGGCTAGCAATCCTGTAGCAGTGGTGGCTTATCATAAAAGATTAGGATAGCCAAGGTTCCCCACTTTGTTTTGAGAGGGGATGGGACATTCCATAGATTGTTCAGCATCAGAATAGGCCATTCGGCCCAACTAGTCTATCATTTTTTATACACACAAGCCTCCAGCCATCCAAATCCCCTCCTATGTATGCTTGGGATTCCTATTAAATGCATTGATGCTTTCTGCTTCAACCACAGCTTTAGCAGTGAATTCCAGTGCTCCGAGATGCTATCCCAGGTGAAGGGCACTATATAAATGCAAGCTGTTGTTCCACATTCTCACCACCCTCAGTGTAAAGAAGTTCTTCCTAAACAAGTGGAAACAACCTGTTAATGTCCAACGTACTGAACTATTTCATCATTTTAAATACTTCTATTGGGTTCTCTCAAACATCTTACCTTTGGAGAAAAAAGCTATTCAGTCCTTCTTGCCAGTTGTATCCTCTCATCACTTGAAATATCCTCATAAATCTATTTTGACATTCACTATACAGAAGCTGCAAAAGATCTTTCATACCTAGAGACTTTGTGAATTTGCATAGGGGGCATAATAGGGTCACTAGCTGATCTCAAGAAGCTGTACATTCCAAACAACTACAGAATACATTTGTATTTTGTATCTTATTATTATATTTTGTGTCTTTACAATAAAGCCTATAGGGTCTGGCACATGCCATCTCCCAAGCAAGCCAGTGAATGTTAGACGGGTTAGAGATCTCATTGGGGCAACCAATTGCGCACAGCAGTGTCCCACAAACAGTCGTGGATTGAATGACCAAATTATTATTCATTTATTTATTTACTTACTTCCCGGTATTTCATATTCTATGGTAAATGCATCAAAAAAGGTAGAGCTCAGAAGGCAGCAGGAGTGAAAGTATTTATGAACTTCATCTGAACCCTCAGTTATATTATCATTTTGAAATACACAATGGCATAAATTGGTTATTTTTTTCAAATATATACAATATATTACTGCTTGAATGGTGTTTGAGGAATAAGCATAGGAGCACAGAAGATAGATTTAAATGGATGAGTGTGCGTATGTATTGGACTCAAACTAAAGTAATATGATGCCACGTTATTTAAACTAAGCTATTTCACTGTTGGATAAACATTGCACATAATCACATGGATAACTACTGAGCTGTGATGACATGAAATATTAAACAGCACAAATACTTGTATCGGATTCATGCAACACCCCCAATTAACTTACCCAGTTTATACGCACTGGTGCAACTCGGTAACCACAAGTTTGCATATAGAGAGGAAAAGCAGTGTGTAGCCAAATAAATCTGTCTTGGTTAGGCGTGTAGCTATGGTAGGAATCGATCTAATATGTATTATAGAGTCAAATAGTTATTTCATATGTTGTCATGTTTAAGCTGTGGCTTCAAATTGAAGTCTGAAACTTGTAGGACTTTAGTTGGTAGAACCAAATTCGGTTCCATATTACTCCTGACCTCTCAGTCCCCTTGCTTGTCTTGCTCCACTAATTAGGCTTAGTACTCTTCATTCACTTGTCAAGTTACCAGCTTTGTGTCGTGCCTGTCTCACACTGGACTCAAATACATTCTTTGCCATTCTTAATTGCAATTTTCAGTCTTTACTCAGCTCTGCGGTTATTGAAGGAACTGCCATCATTAGTGTCAACCTAATGTGACCTCAAGATTCAGAAGAAAAGAGACTGCGTATCAGATTGGACTAGCACTGATAGTATTGGCAGAAATGTCAGGAATCTGAAGAAACTCTGGAGCTACTCCCTCTTAAAATAAAACCAAAAGACTAGGGGCTGAAACAGACCAATCCTACCTGGCACAAATATAAATATTAGTCAGTTATTGGAGTCTCTTAAAATTGGTGTTTCTTTTTCATATTTAATAATGTTAAAGGCCTTCACGGTTAATTCTTTACAGTAAAACTCGAATAATTCCTACCCTTTTATATTGTATAATCGGCCAGTACATTCACCCAAATCCAATTCAGTTTTCTATCAACGTCACCTATATTTCTTTGCAGTACTCGCATTAATTACCTCTTAACTCGGAAAGCTGTTCCCCTCCCCTTCATTACTCCAGCAGTTACCAACTGCAATGAATCCCAGAAATCATGTCCTAACCCATCTATAAATGCGCATTTATTGACACAATGAATCATGAAAAACGTAGTCTTGACCCATCGCTACATGCACAATCAGCTGCAATGAATTATGCATGCGAAGTGGAGATTATTGGTTAAATTGGATTTTATACGACTTATGCAGTTTGTCTGCATGTAAGTCATATTAAATATTATAGTCCCAACTAATACAACTTATGTGAATTTTACTGTAAGTTTTACAGGTAAGCTGACAGCTCGTTTAACATTTTGTGTTGATATTTTGTGTTCTCCTAACTGCACGTAGCTGATGAGTCCAGAATTGCAGGCATAACTTTGATCTCAGAAACCAGAAAGTGCTGTTGTGTCCTTTATTGAGAATGATATCATGAAATGCCCTTTGCATCAATTTCTTGGAATTGTATAGAGAGACAACATTAAATAGTGAAATCTTAAATTTAATAAAATGTTGCTGAAAAACTTGGAGAGCTGATTCAAAACAGAGGAGGAGGCTGTTCACAGACACATAATTGTAAGTGACAGTTCTAGTAGGACTTTTTTTACCTGAAAGTCAGTGACTCCTCAATTTGCAGATTTTTGTGTTAAAAGATAGAAAACAAGCAACAAAAAAGAGACCATCATGTCTGAATGAGAGACCTTTTCCTCTAAAGAAATTATGTCCAATTAGTATAGTTAAATAATAATTTGAGGTTTTTTTTTAAGATGAGGGATGAGCAATTCGACGAGGTAGGCTTGAAAAAGCTTTTGATTGTCTAATAATAACCATTACAAAGCCCGTTACAAATAGATTGCTTGCTTCTGCCTCACCTAAAAGCACTTTGTGTATGAGCTGTTGTCATAAGCCCAAAGAGATTGTAAATGGTGAATGAAAAAACTGTACATTTTTAGCAAAAATATGAATCTGGCTCATCTCAGGGCAGTAATGGACTAGGTGATATGCATCCCTCAAACTTTTATGGCGTTAGGTTCCATTTGCTGAAACCCATGATAAACACTTGTGTTTCTTTTAATAACAATATAATAATAATCCTTGCATTTGATATAGCGCCTTATCGCGTCTTCGAGACGTCTCAAAGTGCTTCACAGTAAAGTGAATTGACTATATATTTTGTGGGCGAAATGCGGCAGCTAATTGCGCACAGCTTTCTTTCAGTCAGGTACCATAAAGTTATCTGTTCATTCACTGGGAATGTGCGATGAGAGAAGGTTTGATGGGACTCACTGTGATCACTAACTTAAAACCCTGCAAAAACAAAATGATTGTAATGAACAATCCCCATGCAATTATGACATTGAGACTGAGCGTCTGATATCATAAAACATCTAAGGATATTCTGAGAGGGCAAATCTTCATTATAGTTCATTATAATATATATTGGACCCTGCTTTAGAATAGAAAAATATTGCTCCTCTGCTATGAATCAGGTAATTATTATTCTGGAGCTTTGATTTGACTGTAGCCTCCCACAGATTTCGAGCAATGCTCTCTTAGCCCCGCTTCTAATTGCGGTTAACCACGGTTTCCATTTGGTTGAGATCATAGTACGTGCTGGAGAGGACACTCGGTGGCTGTCAGTGATCGCACTGCTTAGCTGTTCAAATGACATGATGAACTGTGAGAATGAGGCTGTGGGAGTTTGTTCTCAGCTCAGTCCTGAGATCTGACAACATTGTATAATTCATGCATCAGGCGCTGCTATTATTAACATAGTACAGAGGATAGCAAACATTTCAAAGAAGAAAAACACTCCCCTCCCTGGGAATAGCTTTGATGAAGTTCCACGTGACAAGGCACCTCATAGCAGATCAGGAGCAGGTCTGTGAAATAAGATCTTGTAACAGATGTGGTTGTTCTGGGATGATGAAAATCACTCTCTTAATAAAATAATTTTGGAGGGGGTATTACGGTATTGAATGACTTAACGGCTGTGATTTCAGATGATACATGCATAAACTAATTGAGCTTTGCTACAACAGCTTATAATGTCACCTGAATGTTCTACATTAAATTACAGCCATGACTCACTGCTAATCATCTATACACCACAAGTACCAGATTTGAATTGCATCCTGCATTACAATATGCAGATAGACAACTTATTTTAATATATTGCCGTGGCTGTTTTATATGCTGACAGTACAAAGGCTCAATCACTGTGTATGACCTACTGAACAGTATGCCTCAGCCTTTTTTTTCACCATTATACAGTAAACTCCTGATAACTTGTTCCTGGCTTAACTTGTCACTACCACTTAAGTCATCATGCTGCCAATATCCCAGCTGCATTTATTCATGTGTTTATATTTCGTGTATGCTTGTGGAGTCCTGTAGCTCAGTGGTTAGAGCACTCGCCTTGCAAGCGAGACACCTGGGTTCAATTCCAGGCAGAGGGCGAAACCTTGGGCAAGTTTCCTTACTCCACACTCCTAATAATAATCCCTCCAAAACAAAAAAAATAATAAATTGGTCATTTTCAATCCACGACTGTTTGTGGGACACTGCTGTGCGCAATTGGCTGCCACGTTTTGCCCACAAAATATACGGTCAATTCACTTTACAGTCTATTCTGTGAAGCACATTGAGACGTCTAGAAGACGAGAAAAACACTATATCAAATGCAAGGATTATTATTATTATTATGCCTAACTCGCTGCCCCAGATATATCATTACTGAGCCCTTTTCCCTTGGAGTGAAGAGTTATCAGGAGTTTACTGTACATGTTTTTCTATCTTTGAACAGCTCAGCTTTCAGTAGGAGCTGGATCAGTCTACAGGAATTCATATGCTACTCCTACGGAAGACATTAAGCACAACCAGGTATGTTGTGGAGGTTGTTCAGTCGGTAAGTTTCACCTTGAACGAGCATCCCTTCTGGACAGCAATTAAATTGATGATAATTATCACATCAAATCTCACTCGCCTGCCCACCTCCCGTAATGAGCAAGGACGTTCTCGTACAAAAACTGCCTCTATAAAGGAGAATGCCGCCAGAATGTAGAACAGCGTTGGGAAGGGGTGGCACTTTTTGGTTGGGATATTACAAGCTGGATTTGCTTACAACACAATGGGAGTGTCACCGCAGGGAGCTGACAGGTAATTGTCATTCAATCTTAATTTGGAAACCCATCTTTTTTTAAGAACTGCAGAATGCGACATCCCAAATTTCAGAATTTTCCACAGTTCTGCATGATCTTAAATGGTCTCTAAAATAATCTATTTTAACCCGGCTTGTTGTCAGCTCAGTCCTGAGATCTGACAACATTAGGACTAGGTAGAATTTCGGGCCTCAAGTGAGGACAGGAAAGGCTTTGCTGCGATGAACAATGGTTAATTGAGTGAGGCAGTGGAGGACAGCCAGAGACATGGAAATTTGATGTAACAAAAGGAATCAAATGCCATCCAGAGACATTGGGAAGGTTAGTGATGGGGGGAAAAAAGGAATGATATGTTACTTACACTTCAATAATTGAAACTTCCTTTTTAATCAGCCACCAGAACAGTTCAGAGGATGAGTGGAATGTTTTTCAAGTTTCCACCTCTTCTCCCTAGGTTTCATCACAGCCTGCTGCACAAGAGCCCAGTAGAAAAGATTACGACACCTATCAGCCCTATCAAAACTCCACACGAAACTATGATGACTCTTTCTTTGAAGATCAAGTACACAGTCGCCCAGCTGCGAGTGAATACAACATGCATCTTGGCCTAAAGTCAACTGGCAACTATGTTGATTTCTATTCTGCTGCTCGTCCTTACAGTGAGTTAAACTACGAAACCAGCCACTACCCGGCCTCTCCAGACTCCTGGGTCTAAGAAAATGACCCCACGGGTCTGAGCAGAGGCAAAACAAAACATCTGGGAACTGTGCATGTGCATGAATACCACAAGACATTTTTCAGCAAGTCTAGTCTGTCGAAGCCTGTTCCATAGGACAGTTATCAGGTGAACTGTGGCATATAGTCGTGAGATGGATAAGTGTTGAGAGGGAAACGGAAATGACATTTAGCCTGCAGGAAGATACCTGACTGGGAAAGAGGACTAAATGCGTGTTGACATCCCTATTGTGCATCCAAAAATCAAAACGAAAGCGTGCAAATGAAAACGGCATTGTTGGTGAGCGAAGGTTGGCGTTGGACAGTGGTTGAAACCGAGACAAGAAAAGAGATAAAAGGCGAACAGGTTAAGCACAAGAACCTGAATGTGTTTACACTTGTTCCAGGGACAGCTTGTCACCTCTTTAACAACATTCTCATTTTGATTGTGTATCACAGCTTGTAGTTGCAGTTGGGGTTTCTTCTGTACAGCAAGACCATTTCCTCGCCTTTTTTTGTTAATGCTTTGTTGTAAAGTATTGGATGTACATTACTGATCAATGAGAGCATTGTGTACATTACACCAATGCCAAAGTACTCTTTTGTCTCTTGTTCTTAATACTGTTTTAATTACAAACAAAAAAAGTGTAAGCGCGTTTGACAAGATGTGTGAATTTCAGAGCTTTTTTTTCAAGTAACTAATAACTGAAGGAAGTATTTAGCAGTATTGTTTGTTCTGGTGTGTGGATTTGTTTGTGGCCACTAACAAAAATCATCAGTCGCTGATAACAACTTTCATTTCACACGCACACATTTGATGAAGTGCTCTCTCTTTCACTGCCTAAAGTTATAGATGTAGATATTTGAAAAAAACAATCGATTTTTTTTCATTTATACCAGTTTTGTTTATGACAATACAGTGTTAAAAGTAAATAAATTCAAATGAAGTTGTCATCCATATTTGTAAAAAAAACAAAACGAAAAAAAGTCTCTCTTTTCCATGTTTCTGTCTCTTTACAGAATAGGTGTTGATACAAGTCAACAACAGTTCAAATGTGCCATACAGTCTAGTCTGTTCATATTAATAAGCAGTATCCCTTTTCTGGGCTTAAACAAGATCAACTTTAGATAAACCAAAACCCAAATCTTTAACTAACCCATCTTTACACGTGTTGGCCTAATCACAAAACTTCATTAGTACATTTTGAAAACTTGAGTTTTTTCGATACAGTCGTGGTTGACTTACCTTAGGAAACTTGTAGCTGTGAAATGTTATGGTATTTACATGCTCCTGCCATCCACAGAGTCTTGTACATTTTTAAAAGAAACCCGTTGTGTGTCAAGTGGCATTGAAGGTTGGCCTTATAACTACTCTGTATTTTGCTGAGCTTAAAAGTTACCTGTATAGGCAAGCAAAAAAGGGATACTGCAAACTTTAAGGTAAAGAAACTTTGTTTTAGTGAATACTAGTGGAGCAGTACTCATTGGTGCCAAATGAGAAAAAAACAAAAAAAAACACTTTGAAGTTTAATCGTAGGAAGAACTCTGAAATTAATGGCTAGCTAATTGTCCTGCTGACAGTTTGTAGATGTAGATAGACAGATTTAACTTTGTTAATGCTTTTTACAGTGTGTTTTGTCAACAAAAAGGGTAAGCAGCATATTGGGTTATGTAGCCTTTAAACTGCAGACGAAAGAATCTGAAAATTGGGTGATGTGAAAATAAATAAATGATGCTATCAAAAGTAAACAAAAGCTGTTCAAAAAGTTTCTTAAGAATGACCCAAATGTCTTGAAACATGTTGCCTTTGAATAAGGTTCCTAGAAAAGCAAAGTAAATTGTGTCATATTCTGCTTGCTGAGATCAAAAGTGTTCGAGCGACTTGCATTATATACAAACTCAGTTGCTGTGCTGCATGCTTTACAGTGCAGTAATGTGCATTTGGCACATCATTTGCGAATTGTAACTTCACTAATTTACCAATTACTTAGTTACCGTGTAGCATTTGAGTTTCACATACAGATTACAAAAAAGACAATCAAATACAAGAATGGGTAGATTATCTACACAGCGATCAGAATTATTGGTGATAAGCACTTATAAAGATCACACACAAATTATGATATGGTTGAAGTCCAGTGGATTCTGGAATGAGATGATGACAAGCGTTTTTGTTCTGTGTAATGTTAACCAGTTTACAAACTAAGTCTTAACAAGGTATCGGACATCTCGCATTGTTGAATCTGTCCACCATCATCCTTGCAGACACTTCCACTTTTGTAGTTCTGAGCAGTCACAGGGGGGTTGTGGATGAAAAAGGCTCTTCAGTCCATTTGATTTCAACCTTCCAGATTACCCATTAACAGCATCAAACTGTTTCATGAACAAGTCCAGCGTCTTGCCCTCTATCACCCTTCCTGATAAACTGGTTCATCTGTTTCCCTCTGTGTAAAGAAATACTCCCCAGGCTATTACCTGAATTCCCCTTCACAACTCTAAACCTCTGTTGCCCTGTCCTACTGCCTGCCATATGTACAATTATTATTCTGGATTAACTTTCTCGATCCAGAAGATCTGAATGACCAGCATTTCCTGGGATGCATCTGAAGAAGCATAAACATGGTCTTGCTAGTAATGCAAGACTGTTGCTATAATAATATTAATCCTTGCATTTGATATAGCGCCTTATGTCTTCTAGACTTCACACAGAACTTCACAGAATATACTGTAAAGCGAATTGACTAAATTTTGTGGGCGAAACGTGACAGCCAATTGCAAGTGTCCCACAAACAGTCATGGATTGAGTGAGCAAATTATTATCGTTTTTTTAATTTTGAAGGGATATTTACCCACGGAAAAGCGATCTGCCAATTAACTAAGAAACGTGTTCCTACTTATGGTTAGGTAAACTGAGGAGTGCGGAGGAAGGAAATTTGCCCAACATTTTACCTAACCGGGGATTTGAACCCAGGTCTTATCATTTGCGAGGCGATGCTCTAACTAATACGCTACAAGATTCCCATTTGTTCTGACTGATTGCCTACCAGACATCCAACACTCATAATTTGTCGTTGTTGCCCAACTTTAATTTGTATACAGTGCCTTTCACGTCAGGAGGACGTCCCAAGGCGCTGGACAGTCAAGGATCTGCACCCAAGCTGGTGGTTAGGATCAGGAAGGGAGGGTAGGGTAGGAGGGCAAACAAAGTTACAGTCGAAAACGGTGGTCTTGAAGGAGATGCAAGGGAGGGGGTGAGGCGAAGGGACTGTGGGATAGAGTTCCAGAGGGTGGGGGCAGAGAGGCTGAAGGCCCACCCGCCAATTGTGAAGCGGGCAAGCCTTGAGGGGTTCCTGGGTGAAGTTGAGAGAATACATTCTCACAACAACAACTGCAACTTGCACTTAGGTAGTGTCCTCCAAGCAGCGTAACGTCTCAGAGCGCTTAACAGTGGCAGAGCCTGACTCCGGAGTGTGGGGGAGGTGACTGTAAGCGGTCAATTCGTTCGGTGATGGGGAGTCAGTGGAGCCTGGCCAGAACTGGTGAGGTGGGGGTACAGAGTTTGGTCCAGGTCAGTATGCGGGCGGCAGAGTTCTGAATGAGTTAGATTTTTTGAATAGTGGAGCTGAGGTGACCAACAAGGAGTGCATTTGAATGATCCAGGCAGGAGGTGACAAACGCATGTACGATGGTTTCGGCTGCATTTGGGGCAAGGTACGGTCAGTTAGGCAATGTGGAGGAGGAGGAGGAGGAGGAAGGCTGTCCTAGTCACGGACCAGATGTGGCGGAGGAAGGACAGCTGGAGGTCGAACCAGATGCCTAGATTGTGCACTGGTTCAGTGAGTCTCAGGGAGAGCCCAGGGATGTTGAGTTTAGATCCACAGGTCTTGAAACAGGTCTTGGAAGAAGAGGCAAGGGCCACTCAATTCAGGAGTGATCCCTGCTCCGCTCCCAGAATGTAAGGAGAGAGGCTGAGGAGTTGGAGCATTCTGTGCACAGGCATATATTTAGAGCACTTTCAATTTGTTGATTTTTTTTAGTCAGCCAGGTGTCTGAAACATGTGGAAACAACAACAACAACTTGGATTTATATAGCACCCTCCACACCGGACGGCGTCTCAGAGTGCTTTAAGTAACGGATCCCTGAACTGAGCCGGGGGAGGTGGGGGGCGGGGGGAAGGTGACCAAAGGCGCGGTCGAAAAGAAAGGTTTTCAGCAGAGACCTGAAATTGGGAAGGGAAGGAGCGAGACGAAGGGAGTGAGGAAGGCAGTTCCAGAGCCTCGGGGTATAGTGGCTGAAGGCACGACCGCCGAGGGTGGAGCGGAGGACTTGGGGGACGAGGAGGCCAAACCCGGAGGAACGAAGGCAACGGGTGCTGTGCTGAGGAGAGAGGAGGTCAGAGAGGTAGGGGGTGCGGAGGAGTGCAGGGACTTGAATACGAGGGTGAGGATCTTGAAATCGATCCTCTCTGGGATAGGCAGCCAGTGCAGTCTGGCAAGGACTGGGGTGATCGGGGAGCGGAGTTTCGTGTGGGTGAGAATGCGGGCGGCAGAGTTCTGAATGATTTGGATTTTATGGATGGTAGTGGATGGGAGACCGGTGAGGAGGGCATTAGAGTAGTCCAGCCGAGAGGTGACAAAGGCATGGACCAGGGTTTCAGCGGCTTTTGGAGTGAGGTATTTGCAGAGACGGGCGATGCGTCGGAGGTGGAAGAAGGCGGTGTTGGTGAGGGACCGGATGTGGGGGAGGAAGGATAATTGGGGGTCGAACCTGACGCCAAGAAACCTGTCAACATGCTCAGGAGTATCCACACCAGACTGAGTTCACATTTGTATGCCTCCTAGAATTGGAATTGTTCCTATGCCTTTCAGATGCTACAAAAGCGATGCTCCTGATAATCTCAGTGCTCTGAACCGATCTATAACCAACAGAGATTGGTTTTGTAACCTCTACATTGATCATAAAGCAGGATGCAAGTGACCTGATTTCCAAGTTAGCTGTCTGACCGGTCAATGGCCATTTATTGTGATGACCATTGCTAGGGGAGACCATGGGCAAAATTGTACCCAGTCCTAAGTCAGTGAGAGAGATTCCTGCCTCTAATGTCGATACATCTTCAGAAGCTCTGAAACCCACCCAACCCTTAACAAAACATAGAATGATACGTCAAATGAATCTGCTCAGAAACAGGCCATTCGGCCCAACTAGTCTGTGCCAGAAAATTCACCAGTGAGAAATACAATTTGCAATTCAATTTACATTTACATCACGATTCCTTCATGGTGGGAGGACA